CAAGTGAATTTTAGGTTCTTTCCAATCACATTCTGTTTTTGCAGCTGGTAATTTCCTAATTTGTGAAAAAACCAAACAAATCCGACCCCTCCCTCTGGTGACAGCAAAGGGACATTTTCTACTTAGGTTATTATTTCACATTATAAAACAGGAAATGACAAATCAAATAATCTCATCATAATTATTCATGTAAAACTTATTCTTTACAAGCTCCAACTACCAATGCTTGAAGATGAACTATTAATTGGCTTCAACAATGAGGTGGCCACATGTTGAACTCATGAAGTAGTTTGAATGTACTTTTTTTCCGTGATAATATTCCCGAAAGACTCATTTCTTTCCTCTATCTGTTAATGAAGCCGTGGGAATAACCTTTAGTTCTATAATTGCTGGGTAAAGTCGTGGTGGAGGCTTATGGAGACACTATAGAGGCACGTGTGACCAGAGAAACAGCCCTGTCCCTGTGTGTGTGTGTGTGTGTGTGTGTGTGTGTGTGTGTGTGTGTGTGTGTGTCTGTGTGCGTGTGTGCGTGAGAGAATAATTGGTTGGTTTATGTTCATGTCGAAGGCCGGTTCTTGCCACATGAGCTCTAAAGCGTGTGGAAACTTTGCAGCTAGTCGCCAATTATGTTCACAAACTATTCTTACTGTTTTCCGTTCTCTCTGTAAAGTGATTTCCGGCGCTGGTTGTCGTTAAAGGGGCCATAACACACTTCTGTCACTTCTGCGTAAGATAATCCACGACACCCACGGCTCATTATTATCTCGTATTCTGTCTCGCGAAACAGCCCTTTAAGCCAAGTCAGAGAAACGCACACATAGACTGTATGTAGATGGGCTATGCTAACCCGCTAGCTTAGTGATTAAGAACTACTACTACGCTCCCGTTGACGTACATGTTAAAGTAAACTCCTTTAGCTCAGGGACCGTTTGTGTTTGTGCTTGGGCTTCACAGCAACAAGATCCTGGGCTGGATTCCACCTCCAGTCAGTCAGGGAGGTTTGCTTGTTCTCCCTCCAGGTGCTCCGGGTTCACCCACAAACATGTACAATAGTTCTGGCCTCTTGTGTGTTGACCCTGCTCCCATCACTGTGTGGAGTGAGAGGACAAATGACCACAACAACGTGACCCCAGGAAGACTAGCGACCTCTTGGGGAAGCTAATGGGGATCCAAATTAATAAATAAATTGTAAAGCGCTATGTAGATCATTTATTTACAGGCTAGTAATATACCTCATTTCTAGGCTTAAAACATCCGTGTTTTAGCGCTCTGTGATCCTGCTGTTTTTATTTTGATATTGTCTTAATCCAGAAATGAGCCATACAAGGATTGCATTGCCTTAGCTACCTTGTTAGCAACTACTTAGTCTTAGTGTCCTCTGCTATGGCGAGTAGATCCCCCTGTCATAACAAATGCCCATATAAGGAAATATGCTGAAGCTAGCTTATGTTCAAATCGGCTTCTTCCGCATTTTGCAAGCACTAAAGTGACGCAAACTGCTCAACAGCCTGGAAACTCTGGCTGAAGATTTGGCATGGAGTTGGGAAAATCACAGCAGGGTTGGCGACAGCAAGACAATAGTGACGCACTATTCCACAGACAGAAGCTTGTAATTGTTCACAGATCCTGCAGGTGGCAGCAGACACTATTGTTACTCATGTTTCACAAACGGCTCCATTGTATAAACATAATTTGTCATTATTGCTTCTTGTTTTTCAAATGTCTGTAACCATCGAGCCCAATAAACAGCTCTGGAGAATCTTATACCACTCCTTTGCTACGGGAAAATGAACAGATGGTTGCCAGATTAAATATTCACATGTGATATGTTGTTAGTTAGACCAGCTAGACCGACAAATGCACACAACAATTGTAAACCGCTAGGTGACTCAGGTCTGTGAAAGGCGGTATATAAATAAAGATTACTTACTTACTTAGTTTTGACCCGAACAACTGACCAACCAGGTGTCTTCTGTCCCAAATTTTTGACTTTGCAATCCGACAGCTAGACAGACAGTCCAGCGCTGCTCCTGATTGGCTCTTTGATTGCTGGGCAGTTGCCATGGCCCCTGTTTGCACTAGCTTTAAACGGCTTTTTATTCAAGGTAAACAGTGTCGGAGATGTCAGCGCTCTTTTAGTCCACTCCTACAGTCTATGGCTCCAGGGTTTTGGTTCTCTGGTGAATAGAAAAGAGTAAATAGTATTTGTTTTGATGCATGAGGATTACGCTTGTCCTTGGTTGGCTAATCCACTCGTCAATCGCACGTCTCTGAACTCGGGGAGATGAAACCAGACTGATATTGATCTGTTTTTTAAAATGTCCCTGGTGACAGATCATCCTCAAAACCAAGTGTTTATTTAACGCAGCTTCGACATCAGGAGCTGTGTTGAATAAATGAAAGAAACATTTATCACATTTTGAAGGAGATCTAGGCAACGATTAAACATTTTCTATCTGCAAATGCGGAGTGAGCCGGTCCACATCGAAGGACGAGGGACGCTCCAGGTTTTGTTTGGTTGGTGTTTGATCAATGACTACAAACATAGATTGAGAAATTTGGGAAATATGATGTGGATTTGTAGAAAAGAGACACAGATTTGAGTCCTGGATCCATCTGTGGGACTGGATCCCTCTCTCAATATGGTCCATGCCTAAGACGTTTAAGGACATTTATGGACATCGGTGATCCCGCTCCCTATGGCTCCTATGTCTTATTCAATTTATTTTTGTGTAGATATCTCTGAGGACTTTCCAAAATCTTTGAATTCGCCAACACAGATCAGGGAATCAAATAGTTTGAATGCAAATACAGAAAATGTGATGATAAAACAAGACTTTGACCTGCATTTACTGACTTTGGTCATGCAGTGGCAAGATTGCGTTTCTATGTTCGAACTGTTTGGTTCGCTAATATGTTGTTGGAGAAGGCGTCTGATTGGTCAATCCGTCTGGCTCATATCTGGATTTACAAAGACTATATCAAAATATAAACGCAGGATCGCAGAGAACGATGAAACCACATTTTCCAATCCAAAAATGTGTGATACTGACGGTTACTGAGCTAGAATTTACTTTCAACGTAAGTCAATAGGAGCCAGAGCGATCCCTATTGGGCTTCATTGAGCTAGTGGGTTAGCATTGTTAGCATGTTAGCAAAAAGTGAAGGGTCAGACGATGGTCAAATGCCGAGTCCTTTTGACACACCAGCCTGTGCGTGTAAGTCAAAATCCCCAGTGTTTTTGCCAGTGTGAGCAAGACAAGAATCTTGGACTGTTTACTATACATTCAAGCTACAATAACATCGCATTTACTTGCTTGTTGGATTATGCTGTGCTGTTTGAATAATGCCCCCAAAGCCTCAATCCTTTCCCAGAACAAAAACAACCCGGGTTTTGACCTGTCTTTGCGCTGTCATTAGAAGCGAGATTTGTTGGCGCCGTCTTCCATCACAGAGACACAGTTTTTGCCTATGCATCCACCCACACAGAGGCTTAAAAGCAGGAATAGTTTTACATAGGGAGCGAGTGGGTCCTTTGCAGAGTGCCCTGAAGACCTGAGTGAGCTGCAGCTGAGAGAACAAAGAGAGAAACGATGGATCAGCACAAAAATCTCAGCGGAGAACACCAAAGACACGCATTCAAAACAGATTCTTTCATGTGTAATATATGTAGGTCTGCGGTGAAACGTGAGATAAGAAAATTACATATACGGGGTAAACGTGTTCATGTAGAGCGTCTCCCTGTGTTTTCTTTTCTTAACATTCTTGAGTTGTTCCATGTTGATGCAGGAGGGTGTTCAACCTGTAACTCCGTAGATACCATTAGCTCGCCACCCACTTTCAGGTAGCTCCCCAGAGGATTATGGAGGCCAGAGGTATAGGCTAGAGAGAGAGACCAGAGACACCAGAGGGAGAGGCTAGAGAGAGACCAGAGAGAGTCCAGAGAGAGATGAAGGGAGAGGCTAGAGAGAAAGACTGTAGGAAGACCAAAGGGAGAGGCAAGAGAGAGAGACCAGAGGGAGAGGCTAGAGAGAGAGACCAGAGGGAGAGGCTAGAGAGAGACCAGAGAGAGTCCAGAGAGAGATGGAGGGAGAGGCTAGAGAGAAAGACTGTAGGAAGACCAAAGGGAGAGGCAAGAGAGAGAGACCAGAGGGAGAGGCTAGAGAGAGAGACCAGAGACACCAGAGGGAGAGGCTAGAGAGAGAGAGAGATGAAGGGAGAGGCAGAGAGAGATGTAGGAAGAGGCTAGAGAGAGAGAGAGACCAGAGAGTCCAGAGGGAGAGGCCAGAGAGAGATGAAGGGAGAGGCTAGAGAGAAAGACTGTAGGAAGACCAGAGGGAGAGGCTAGAGAGAGAGACCAGAGACACCAGAGGGAGAGGCTAGAGAGAGACCAGAGAGAGATGAAGGGAGAGGCTAGAGAGAAAGACTGTAGGAAGACCAAAGGGAGAGGCAAGAGAGAGAGACCAGAGGGAGAGGCTAGAGAGAGAGACCAGAGACACCAGAGGGAGAGGCTAGAGAGAGACAGAGAGAGATGGAGGGAGAGGCTAGAGAGAGAGACCAGAGGGAGAGGCTAGAGAGAGAGACCAGAGAGAGACCAGAGAGAGACCAGAGAGAGAGACCAGAGAGAGAGACCAGCTTGTCATGGCCTTTGAGGTAGCTTCCCGATGGATTCTGGATCTTTGCACGTGATCCTGAATGATCATATTTTCGGTCAATACATGTCTAAATCTTTTCCTGATGTTCAACAATGTAGAGTTATTTACATGTATTTAAATTCCTGGACTATCTATCTATATGATAAAATAAGTGAATGTAGTAGCTGTACTGTATATACTGTGTCTTTGAATACATATATTTTTAGTAGCATACCGTCTTGATAGTTCCTGTGGTATAGTACAGTGAGGACTTCCCAGTACAGTATGATGTGAAATAAGCCGGATCTGTCCGTCACGGTGAGTTCCAACGACAGATGTAGTGCTGACAGCTCTCTGCTCCTGCAGGAGAACCAGTGGCTGGACAGTGTGTCTCTGCTCATCAAAGACTCTGCAGAAGGGGATCTGATTGACAACCTGTCGGGCTCCGTGTTCCACAGCTACAGCTCAGCCCCTGTGTGTGCGGACCGCCGAGACCACCCTTCTGAGGTGAGTGTGCTCTCGTCTCCATAGACAATCTCTGACATCTCAGTTCAGCATTGAGATCATATATTGTAGTTTGTGGTAGTCCTCCTGCCTCATGGACATTTAAAAAGTCAAATTCTAAGCCGAGGACAACAATTCAAAAACATGGTGGACATAAATATTGTTAAAAGCGAACACATTTGATATTAGTTAGCATGTTTTGTTTCATTTGGAGCAACTGTGAAAATGACACAGAGTACCTTTAATGCCTTGTATTGTTTCTATCTGTTTTGCTCAGCCCTTTGAGTATCTTGTGCTGTACAAATACATTTGCCTTGCCAAAATCTCCCCCTCCCTCTGGTGGCGGCAGAGGGAGTTACAGATGGAAAGCATTTTATACTCTTCAGACTTGTGTTACCATATATTCTCTGTATTCTATCTGCTGGACTCCTGAATTTCTCCTACGGGGATCAATAAAGTATCTATCTATCTATTGTATATATATGTTAATGCTAGTTCAAGCTACAGTTTACAGGGGCAAAAACAAATCAATCAGAGGTTAGTTTAATGGCCTCAAAGCCTACTATCCGCTCGTCCCCTCGTCACAGGCTTTTATTGACAAACCAAAACACATCCACATTATGTCCACATCAAAGATTCCATTAGTTTGTTGACCCTGTTTAAACATGTTGGCCTAAAAGCTTTCCACTCGTAACTTCCCTGACAACCCAAAAAATGGCACTCGATAAACTTGATAATACTCAAAGCTAACAATGTACTATTAATGTATTTTCACATTCTGACAAAGTAGCTTTAAAGCCCGGCTGTTTTTCTATGGGCTGCCTCTCCATGGACGATCTGTGAGATCTGTGAGCGTCGCTAAAAATAGAGGACAGTGGATCAAGAGGCGACGGGCAGAGGTGAAGGAGGCAGACGGGTAGATGGAGCCAAGGAACTCTAACCCCAGAAAAACTCTAACCCCAGAAAACGACATAATTGAATATATTATAATAGTATAATAATAAATATACAAACAGTCACATCATGTTTCAGAGAGAGAGACCAGACAGAGGCCAGAGAGAAGCCAGAGAGATAGAGAGAGAGGCCAGAGAGAGAGAGAGAGAGAGGCCAGACAGAGGCCAGAGAGAGAGGCCAGAGAGAGAGAGAGAGAGAGGCCAGAGAGAGAGACCAGACAGAGGCCAGAGAGAAGCCAGAGAGATAGAGAGAGAGGCCAGAGAGAGAGAGAGAGAGAGGCCAGACAGAGGCCAGAGGGAAGCCAGAGAGATAGAGAGAGAGGCCAGAGAGAGAGACCAGAGAGAGAGACCAGACAAAGGCCAGAGGGAAGCCAGAGAGATAGAGAGAGAGGCCAGAGAGAGGCCAGAGAGAGAGAGGCCAGAGAGAGAGAGGCCAGAGAGAGAGAGGCCAGAGAGAGAGAGGCCAGAGAGAGAGAGAGGCCAGAGAGAGAGAGGCCAGAGAGAGAGAGGCCAGAGAGAGAGAGAGGCCAGAGAGAGAGAGAGGCCAGAGAGAGAGAGGCCAGAGAGAGAGAGAGAGGCCAGAGAGAGAGAGGCCAGAGAGAGAGAGGCCAGAGAGAGAGAGGCCAGAGAGAGAGAGAGGCCATAGAGAGAGAGAGGCCAGAGAGAGAGAGAGGCCAGAGAGAGAGAGAGGCCAGAGAGACAGAGAGAGGCCAGAGAGAGAGAGGCCAGAGAGAGAGAGGCCAGAGAGAGAGAGGCCAGAGAGAGAGAGGCCAGAGAGAGAGAGGCCATAGAGAGAGAGAGGCCAGAGAGAGAGAGAGCCCAGAGAGAGAGAGAGGAGAGAGCCAGAGAGACAGAGAGAGGCCAGAGAGAGAGAGGCCAGAGAGAGAGAGGCCAGAGAGAGAGAGTCCAGAGAGAGAGAGGCCAGAGAGAGAGAGGCCAGAGAGAGAGAGGCCAGAGAGAGAGAGAGGCCAGAGAGAGAGAGGCCAGAGAGAGAGAGGCCAGAGAGAGAGAGTCCAGAGAGAGAGAGGCCAGAGAGAGAGAGGCCAGAGAGAGAGAGAGGACAGTAGGACAATACTTTCTACTATTTCCACTCTCTAAGACAGTGGTCCCCAAACTGCGGCCCGCGGGCCGGACCCGGCCCCTCTTTACATTTTCTCCGGCCCCCTGAACAATACCAGAGAGTATTTTCATATGGGCTTGTTCACACTAAAGGGCACAAAAGTGTGACAAAAGGCAAAAATTAGATTTTAATAATCAGAAGATATTTAATGTTTTTCATGTTTCCAAGCACCTCCTCTGTCCATTAGAAGTTTCTAGAACAAAACTGTTTTATACATTAGACAAGTTTCCTATAGCGGCCCTGTTTATTTTATGTAACGGACGTGATGATTTGACGGAATGAGCTGCGGAAGTTTGTTACGTATTTTTAGATTCAGAGATTATATATTTTTTAACATAGAGTAGAAACAAAGTGATACTTTTATATATTCAAACAATTTACTCATTGACTGCCATTGACGTGTTTGTCTGAGACCGGTGATTTCTGTCAAACTTCCCTCTATTCGACTGCGGATTACAGAAGAACAAAACTAGCAAGAAACACACTTATTTTTTCTGATGAAAGTAGACAGTCCAGTCTTTCAGAATCTGGTTTCGTATTTCACATAGACATAGCATACAATATTTTGTGGGTCTTGAAAATCTGTGAAATCTTTAAAAAATGGCTAGCAGTCAATGAGTTAAATGTGAAACCAGACCAGATTTTTTTTTTTCTCAAGTTCAATTGTTCGAGAAAAATGGACGGAAACCATCACGTTCGTTATACATTTTCAAGGGTCATTTATTTTTTTAACGATTCCTTTTTATATCAAGTGATTTACTTATGTTGTGTTAACCATGTAAATCTTGTGGGATTTCATCTGCCGCTTTTTCAAACTGAGGACATTGTATTTTCTCTGTAACCGGCGTTACAGTAGAATGGTCAAATAAGAGGCTCATTTGGTCGTTTAAAATGTCGGCCAAAAATATTTTTGTCAGTCTTTCCTTTGATTTTATCCACACTATCTCTTCAATGTGTCTGTGTTTGAAATCTTTTTTTCTAATCTATGATAGTAATTTTAGTTTTAGAGTTATAATCTTTTAAAGTCCAGATACTTTAAATTACACTTTACTGTGAACTCACTCATATGTGGATTAAAGTTGGACTTTTGCAATAAAAAGTTCCTTATGAACTTTTTTCATAATTAACTCTTAGTAACTATTTCAACGCTGCAATCATCACACTTTTTCTGTTACAAACTGACCCGGCCCCCATCGAAGAAGGGAAAAGTTATGTGGCCCTCACAGGAAAAAGTTTGGGGACCCCTGCTCTAAGACATTATTTCTAAAACATAAAATTCTTTGTGAAGTCACATTTATATTCAGTGTTTGGAGCAGGGTCACCGGAGCAGCTTCAGCGAACACACATGACACAGATGTACTTTGAGCTGATTTTTGGTCCATTATCTCTATTTTAAGATCCAAATTGTTATCCCCATTACATCATTGCTGTATTTATCGATCAATAATTTTAGCAAAATGTTTAATTGAAATAATGAATCTACTTCTTCAGCATATGCTTGTAATAGTCATGTTTTTCATTGGAGAACACTTTACCTTCAGTGTTTTAAAGGTGACAGTCACAGGCAGATAGATGTGGCAGTCATGTGGTGCTCATTTGTCAATAGGTCGTTTTTCTGTGCGTGTGTGTGTGCGTGCACGTGCATGAGTGTGTGTGTGTGTGTGTGCATGCACGTGCATGAGTGCGTGTGTGTGAACTAAATAAGTATCTGCTCCTGTGTCTTGTTTGTAGTTTTTTTTTACTTTTGTACCAACATTTTGAAAAAACAAATACTACTAATGGATACGCTATGACTACTGCTGCTACTACTAGTACTGCATACGCAACTACTACAACACATACTACTACTACTACTACTGTATAAACTACCACTACTACTAATACTAACTAATACCGTATACGCAACTACTGCTACTAGTACTGTATAAACTACAACTACTACTACTACTAGTACTGCAACTACTACTACTACTACTACTACTACTGTATAAAGTAGTTCCAGACCGTGTATAAAGAAGCCATAGTGTGGTCTCAGTGCCTCCTGTGTCTGTGGCTGCAGATCCGGTTGGCAGAGGTGGAGGCGGCCTCGCTGATGTCCGAGCAGCTATCGGACAAGTCTTCTTCTCCTGCTCTGCCAGACGACCTGAGCCTGGACGACAGCACCAGCCTGCAGCTCCTCCACAGGCACAACACGGTACTGCACACTGGTCCAAACACATGAACACAGTTAGGTATATACAAGGATTCTCCCAATTTTTAGGAAAGAACCGCCCTCTCCACTTTTCCAACAAAACTCTGTGGTCTTATTTGACGAGCACGTATCCCCAGAATGATTGACAGTTGGGAGGACCAATAATCTTGATGATCCACCCGGAAGTAGAAAATCCTCTTATATACCATTAATTATAGATTTTACGCTTATGCTGAAAAGTTTATACCCCCAGACAGATTTTATTTTGGCCATATTTACATGATTATGAAGTATTTCCTCTCCCTACTCTGTCTCTTCTCTCTCTCTCTAGTCTCTCTCTGGTCTCTCTCACTCTGCTCTCTCTCTTAAGCCTCTCTCCCTGGTCTCTCTCACTCTGCGCTCTCTCTTAAGCCTCTCTCCCTGGTCTCTCTCACTCTGCTCTCTCTCTTAAGCCTCTCTCCCTGGTCTCTCTCACTCTGCTCTCTCTCTTAAGCCTCTCTCCCTGGTCTCTCTCACTCTGCGCTCTCTCTTAAGCCTCTCTCCCTGGTCTCTCTCATTCAGCTCTCTCTCTTAAGCCTCTCTCTGGCCTCTCTACTTGATCTTTTTCTCTGGTCTCTCTCTGGTCTCGCTCTGGTCTCACTCTGGTCTCTCTTGCTGGCCTCTCTCCCCGGTCTCTCTCACTCCGCTCTCTCTCTTAAGCCTCTCTCTAACCCCTCTCCCTGGTCTCTCTCACTCTGCTCTCTCTCAGGTGTGTGTCTCTCTCTTCTCTCTCCTCTCTCTCTCTGCTCTCTCTCAGGTGTGTCTCTCTCTCTCTCTCTCTGTTCTCTCTCTGCTCTCTCTCTGGAAAACCTGTAAATGTTCAGTCTTAATCTTAAATAACTCTTTTCTCTCTCTGGTGTCTGGTGTCGCAGCTGCCTCCTTCACATGTGTCTGATATTAGAGGAATTATAAATCCTGCCTCACACCTCCTCCGTCTAATCTTTATTAATCACTGTTTACATGCTTTAGGCTGATTACAACACCTGCCTCCTCCTCCTCCTCCTCGGGCGCAGCGGTGCACGCTGGGACTCGCGGTCCTCTGCTGCTCCTCCACTCATTTCATATCAGACACTTCACAAAACAAACAAGCCGCACAGGTTGTCATGGGAAACCAACTTTATGTGTTTTGGATTCAACTTTTCAAGGCAATATTCTAGTGTCAGTTTTATGGCTTCATATCGACGAGATATGAGTTTATTTACTGCTTTTACTGCAATAACGTGTTGTATGTGTCGATAGATCTCTCTGGTCTCTCTCTTTAGTCTTTGTGTCTGATTTCTCTTTCTGGTGTCTCTCTCTTTCTCTCTTTAGTCCCTCTCTCTGGGCTCTCTCTCTGGTCTCTCTCTGGACTCTCTCTCAGGTCTCTCTCTGGACTCTCTGGAATCTCTCTCTCTCTCTCTGGTCTCTCTCTGGTCTCTCTCTTTAGTCTTTGTGTCTGATTTCTCTTTCTGGTGTCTCTCTCTCGCTCTCTTTCTCTCTTTAGTCCCTCTCTCTGGGCTCTCTCTCTGGTCTCTCTCTGGACTCTCTCTCAGGTCTCTCTCTGGACTCTCTGGAATCTCTCTCTCTCTCTCTGGTCTCTCTCTGGACTCTCTCTCTCTCTCAGGTCTCTCTCTGGACTCTCTGGAATCTCTCTCTCTCTCTCTGGTCTCTCTCTGGACTCTCTCTCTCTCTCAGGTCTCTCTCTGGACTCTCTGGAATCTCTCTCTCTCTCTCTGGTCTCTCTCTGGACTCTCTCTCTCTCAGGTCTCTCTCTGGACTCTCTGGAATCTCTCTCTCTCTCTCTGGTCTCTCTCTGGACTCTCTCTCTCTCAGGTCTCTCTCTGGACTCTCTGGAATCTCTCTCTCTCTCTCAGGTCTCTCTCTGGACTCTCTGGAATCTCTCTCTCTCTCTCTGGTCTCTCTCTGGACTCTCTGGAATCTCTCTCTCTCTCTGGTCTCTCTCTGGACTCTCTGGAATCTCTCTCTCTCTCTGGTCTCTCTCTGGACTCTCTCTCTCTCAGGTCTCTCTCTGGACCCTCTGGAATCTCTCTCTCTTTCAGGTCTCTCTTTAGTCCCTCTCTCTGGACTCTCTTTCTCTGGTCTCTCTGGTCTCACTATCTGGTCTCTCTCTTTGGTCTTTATCTCTAGTCTCTCTCTAGTCTCTCTCTGGAGTTCACTCACACATATGGAAGAAACCCCCTTTCAGGAAAAGTGGGGTTAGGTTTCATGCCCGAGGACAGCAGACATCAGTGATAGTCTGTGGAGAAAGTCTAGTGGTGGACTCGAACCCACAACCCTCAGGCTCAAAGGCCTCTACCTACTGAACCACTGTCGCCCTAGCCAAAATCCTCTCCCATGTTTTTGTGTTTCTAATGCATTTCTGCAGCCACTAATGCAGGTTGTAGAATGACTGGATATATGAATAATATCATGTGTGTTGTGTGTGTTTGTCAGAGAGGCACCAGTGACTCCCAGAGCTCAGAGGAGCGGTCTCTGCAGGGCGGATACTTTGGTTTTCGCTGCAGCTTTGACAGCTTCGAGGACGGGGCCCAGACCGCAGACCTGGTCCAGACCCGGGACACGTCCCACCACAGTCCACAGACGGGGAGCAGTCCTGCCAAATGCAGAGGTGACTGTTTTAAAAGAGACATGCAACCTATCGCAGCACAGAACCTGAGAACTGTAATGTGTGTGCCAGGCCTGAGGGGGCGCTGTGAGGCTGCGACAGGAAACACCAACGCACAGCATGTAAATGTACAACAGTTGGTAGTATTTATGCTAGCAATTTTCAAGCAGATTATCCAATCAGAAAGCAGAAGGAGGCTCTCATTTAGGTTGCTGGACTGTTCTGTTACATTTAGCCAGTTTTGGCTCTTTTTTATATGAAATTAATGATATGTTTCAGTTTTATACAGCACTTTTTGGACGCTTAAATCACATTCACTCCATTCATCCACCCCCACCAACCATTCACACACACACCAGATTCATTCTAATGCGGGGGATGAAGTGTCTTGCCTAATGACACAAACACCCTTTTGGCACATGACAGACCTCAGCACTGTCGCACCTGCTGAGGTCTCCCATCACATTACTAACCAGACCCTGTCCTGCTTAGCTTCAGTGGTCTGACAGGATCTGGCTTTCACCTGCAGGTGGCGTTACAAGAATACACACGGTTGTGCTGTAGAATAATAAATGTTTGTGTGTGGTGGAGTTATTAGGCCCGAGCCCCAACCGGGGTAAGGGCCTATTGCTTTTCCAACGAGTAATGCCTGGGCGAAGCCCAGGCATTACTCGTTGAACTGTTTTAAGTCACAATCTCCGGGCGCAGCCCGGAGATTGTGACCTGCACGCGACGGCACGTGCCCAAGCACTGATAAATCCGTGCCGGAGGCACGGAATGGCTTTGTTCCTGCTGTAGTACACAGTGAAATGATTGAAGTCCTATTAAAGGGGGGTTCCTTCAACTGTTTTACGGACGAATGTCCGGGCGAAGCCCGGACATTCGTCCCCCAAGCCCGACGGCGCGTGCCCAGACACTGACAAAACAGTGCCGGAGGCACTGAATGGCTTTGCTCCTGCTACTACACATTGTAATCAATGGGGTCCTATGGGGGGGGTGGGTGACCTCATGATGGCGAGGTGATTGACGAGCGCGTTAGCGCTCGTCAATCACCGAGAACCCAATAGTTGCGTTCGTCTGGTCGTTCGCTTTAAAACGACGTATCATTTGTATTATAGGTTACTATGGAAACCTATATTGTTTTTGCTCGAAGATTTCAAAAAAAAATTCCTTATTTATTTATTATTTCTTTTTTCTTCTGCACTTTGAACCTTAATTTGACCCCCTGAACATTGATGAAAAGTTGTGAAATTTTGCCCAAAATTCAGAACCGGTGAAAAATTAATTTTTTTGGTGTTTATTTTTATGGGACTAAAAAAATGACCGAACAGCGCCCCCTACAAAAGTCAGTTTACATTGCGCCTATGGGAGGGGGTCGGAGGTCAAGTTTGTCGTAGAGCCACAAAATTCGGTGCACATGTTCCTCAGGTCAAGACATGAAAAAAAAGTTATTATGGCTCCGCCCCCTGACAAACAGGAAGCTCATTAATTTAATTGGAAAATGGAAAAATGAAAATTGATCTTTTTCACACATGTCGGCTGGAAATTATCTCCTCCTCGGCCGCTTCACCGATTTGTCTCAAAATCGCTCAACATGGTCTAAACCCATGTCCCATCTATTATTGAATATAGAATTTGGATCAATTAAACGTTGTCCGAGCAGCGGAGCGGCAAAATGTGACATTTTTTGGGGGATTTTTGACAAAAGTAAATTTGCTCCCATTTGCACAAAAAAAGTTAGATTTGCACCAAATTTTAATCCATTGTTCAGCTCCAGGGTCTAGGTCATCTGAAAGTGGAAATATTGAAATTGGCTCATTAGCGCCCCCTACAGACTATGTTAAAGTTTTACATGGGCTTTTTAAAATTTAGTTTTGTCAAAATGTTTGAAATTTGGCACATAATTCTGTTTTGTCATCTGGATTCAAAAAGTCAATGACAATATATGATTATTTTTTACCCTGTTTCCGTGGCGACGACCAACACTCCCCTGTCTGTGTCTATGAGAAAATCGTTAAATCTCTGAAAAGTACACCTCGCTCAAACATCAAACCAGCCACGGCCGTTTCCCTAATTTGTCTGAAAATCGCTCCACATGGTGTCCACACATGGACCATCAATAGTTGCATATAGAGTTTTAATTAGTCAAACGGTCTGAGCGTGACAGACCCCCAAAGTGTGGTCATTTTCATAGAGAGGTGTGAAGTTCCCATGTTATCCAATGGAGACTGTATGGACACACTCACAGATTGTATGTGAAACAGGAGCACATTTACAAACTCAGCACTAAACTTGACTTTGTTGTTCAACTCCTGGGCCTAGGTCACATGACAGTGTGAACAATGACATTGGCCCATTAGCGCCCCCTACAGGCTGAGTAAAGGTTTACATGGGGATAAAGGTATTTAGGTTTTCTGTTGTTTGATCTCATATTTGACCCACTGAACATGCACAAAAACTCACCAAACTTTGCCACACGTTTTTTTCAGGCATCAAGTGTATTATTTTGGTGTTCTTTGGTATAAGACTAAAACATTGAAATTGTAGGGGGCGCTGTTGTACAACATTAAATGCCACCATTTGCACATACAAAGTCTGATTTGCACAAAATTTGAATTGATTGTTCAACTCTCGGGTTTGGGTAAACTGAAAGTGTGAATCATGAAATTGCAGCAATAGCGCCCCCTACAGACTGATTCAAGTGTTACATGGGGAGAAAGAGGTTTATCTATTCAGTAGAGACACAAAATCACTGCTCATTGGAACTCAAAAGGCCCAGTGTCGCTCCCATCAGGGCGGTAGAAAAATGGCGCGTCAGCGCCACCTCGGTGCGCGGTGCGGCGAGGGCCGTTAGATGCCGCTTGCGGCTTTAATTTGGTTGTTGTTTCCACCTGTGACTCAACAAGATTCATTATTTGACTGAAAGAAAAACACACAAATCGGCAATACAGATTAGAAAAACAGCCTGTATGGTGGATATCGGTGCAGATAATCAATTTGACTTCTGCTTCTTTGCTTCTGAGATTGGACAGGATCAGGTTCAAATGCAGTAAAAGGCTTTTGAAGATCCATCTCCATCTCTTGGTCTCTCTTGGTCTGCTCAGCTTAGTGTCCGCGCCCCCCACTTTGAGAATGGCTGCCCTGAGCTGTGTACCGCTCAGTGTCACCGCTTTTATCTCCTCCGCTGCAAACATCGATTTGACCTCATTCAAGATGGAGCCACTTTTACACTGAAGGGAAAACACATAAATCACAGTTAAAAGTCAAATATTTACAACATCTTACCCTTTAAAACTGAGAAAAGCTGAGACCTCTGACTTTGTGTTGTTTGCTCCATTACAGGGAGTTTGTAAAAGTAAAATGTTGTTGTAGAAAGAGCCCTGGGAGTCACTTTTTGACTCACAGGGCTGAGGGTGGTTTTCTCGCCTTCACTTCTCTGTCTGAAAAAGTTGATGTGATGTGAAGATGTGACAGAGACAGATATACAGGAGGTGAAAACTAGCGGCCAAACTAAACTAGACAGATTTAATCACATATTTCAGTTGTTTAAAGTCAGGTACCCCAGCTTTAAACCTATTTCTCTCTGTATACTAGCATGTCATCTGTGTGTGTGTGTGTGTGCGTGTGCGTGTGTGTGTGTGTGTGTGTGTGTGTGTGTGTGTGTGTGACCTCTGTCAATACCAATCCATTTTATTTGTATAGCAGTCATTGTAGGACTAGTCCACCGGGTTCAGGGAGTCCACGGTGTCAGACTGGGACTAGTCCTCAGGTCCAGGGAGTCCACGGTGTCAGACTGGGACTAGTCCTCAGGTCCAGGGAGTCCACGGTGTCAGACTGGGACTTGTCCTCAGGTCCAGGGAGTCCACGGTGTCAGACTGGGACTTGTCCTCAGGTCCAGGGAGTCCACGGTGTCAGACTGGGACTAGTCCTCAGGTCCAGGGAGTCCACGGTGTCAGACTGGGACTAGTCCTCAGGTCCAGGGAGTCCACGGTGTCAGACTGGGACTAGTCCTCAGGTCCAGGGAGTCCACGGTGTCAGACTGGGACTAGTCCTCAGGTCCAGGGAGTCCACGGTGTCAGACTGGGACTAGTCCACCGGGTTCAGGGAGTCCACGGTGTCAGACTGGGACTAGTCCTCAGGTCCAGGGAGTCCACGGTGTCAGACTGGGACTAGTCCTCAGGTCCAGGGAGTCCAGGGTTTTCGAGTCTCTTCAGTGCATTCATAATGATAATGTATTGGTTTCATACAGCTCTTTTCTGGACTCTCAAAGACTCTTCACATGTTAGTATTCTTTCACTCCATGCAGTTTCACAACCCAGCCGCACGTGTGTTTCTGTGTGTGTGTGTGTTTCTGTGTGTGTGTGTGTGTGTGTGTTTCTGTGTGTGTGTGTGTGTGTGTGTAGCATTAAAACCCGCTCCTCTCTCTGCTCCTGTATAAACGTGAGGTTACCGTGACTTTGTGGTTATCTTTGTCCTAATCTGGGCTTTGATCCTCTCTGACGCAGGACGACTCCGTGACTTTGACGCAATTAAAATCCTTCATTAGAATCGAGGAGGATGTGCTCGCCGCCGCCGCCGTTTGATTGATGTCACGTTCGTCAGACCTTCACTGTCACAGAGATCAGCAGTGCACAGTCTGTGAAACTGTTTAAATATGGTTCTAAAGTCCATTCGCTTCTGGATTTCAACACACAATAAGGCTGCGGTCACATGCACAGCCCAAAGCCCGGTTTAAGCTGCACTAACTCACTTTGTGACAGTTTCAAATGTGAGCGCTGGCCTTGCTCTTTCTGCTCACCCTCCACGCACCAACAAAGCTAACAAACCGTGCCCAAGCCCACGGTTTGTTAGCTTTGTTGGTTACAGAAAGTGGGCCTGAGCACGATTGAGAGAGGTGGGCCACAGCACGCTTCCAAAGCCCAGATGAGGGGGGTCAGTGTGGCGGGGGGGGGGGGTGAGGTGTGGTGGGGACTTGAGATTGTACGTCTTCCGTTGTGACGGGCATTTTCACACACGTCTCTGCACTTTCATATTCTCTGCTTGCGACGGGAATAACTCCATCCTGACCCTCGCTCTCACTGTGGTGCTTTTGCAAAAACAAAAAGCACCACACTTCAGACATATAATCAGTGTTTATTTAATTGCCAGAACACATCAACACACACTTGTACCCTGCCTGGCTCCGGTCGCTCTGCTCGTACGCCACTCAGGCAAGCTCCCGTGTCCGTGGCGCGCACACACACGCACGCACACACACCCACACACACCCACACACACACACACACACACGCGCACACACATGCTACCCACTGAACTGCTGCACTTTACATCAGAGCAATGTGGACAAGTGTGAGGGGTGTCTTTCCCTAAACAACGCGACCTGTACTCGAGCTGTTAGCTACAGTAGCAGAATGTAAACTGGAAGAGAACGGAAACTCAACCAGGACAACGAGGTCGTCACTGAAGTTAGTATTAGCGCCACCAGCTGGACCGAGTGTTGTACTACAGCACAGTTGCTCGGGCACAGTTTAAAGAACAAGCTCTTGTGACCGCGGGCCGTTATCACACCCTGTGGCGACGACTCGGGCCATGTGACCGTGCCCTAAGAAACTATAGACCTGTTTTACTCTACTCTGCTCTACTCTGCTCTACTCTGCTCTGCTCTGCTCTACTCTACTCTACTCTACTCTGCTCTGCTCTACTCTACTCTACTCTACTCTACTCTACTCTACTCTACTCTACTCTACTCTACTCTACTCTGCTCTGCTCTGCTCTGCTCTGCTCTGCTCTGCTCTACTCTACTCTACTCTACTCTACTCTACTCTGCTCTGCTCTACTCTACTCTACTCTACTCTGCTCTGCTCTACTCTACTCTACTCTACTCTGCTCTGCTCTGCTCTGCTCTGCTCTGCTCTGCTCTGTTCTACTCTACTCTGCTCTGCTCTGCTCTGCTCTGCTCTGTTCTACTCTGCTCTACTCTACTCTGCTCTACTCTACTCTACTCTACTCTACTCTACTCTGCTCTACTCTGCTCTGCTCTGCTCTGCTCTACTCTACTCTACTCTACTCTGCTCTGCTCTGCTCTGCTCTGCTCTACTCTACTCTACTCTGCTCTGCTCTGCTCTGCTCTGCTCTGCTCTGTTCTACTCTGCTCTACTCTACTCTACTCTGCTCTGCTCTGCTCTGTTCTGCTCTGTTCTACTCTACTCTACTCTACTCTGCTCTGCTCTACTCTGCTCTGCTCTGGTCTACTCTACTCTACTCTACTCTACTCTACTCTGCTCTGCTCTGCTCTACTCTACTCTACTCTACTCTACTCTACTCTACTCTACTCTACTCTACTCTACTCTACTCTGCTCTGCTCTGCTCTACTCTACTCTACTCTACTCTACTCTACTCTGCTCTGCTCTGCTCTGCTCTACTCTACTCTACTCTACTCTACTCTACTCTACTCTACTCTACTCTACTCTACTCTACTCTACTCTACTCTACTCCTACTCTACCTCTATTGGTAGCGTTTCCATCTGCTCTGTTTAACTGGTACCAGGTCCTTATTTTAGTACCTCATGGTCCAAATGTAAAAGTCTTGCTCATTCATAGAATCTTTTTTTACTATTTGAATCCCAGATCATGGACTTACAAAATAAAGATTCTCCAGATCTTGTTTTAGAGCCATATAATCGTGACGTCTGCAGGAGATGATCCAGGACACTCCACATCCAACTACATTTATGGACATCTCTGCCCCTGATGTGTTTTTCTCTTTGCATTTCCTGTGTTTGATTCTCTGATCTGTGTTGGTGAATCGACAGTAAAGTCCTCTGAGTCTTAACTGCTGTGATTGAGGTGTCCACAAACATAAATGTACTGTACTGTGTCCCTCAGACGGGCTCTTCTCGCTGCCTGCAGACTTCTTCCACCCGGCTTCAGCTCCAGGCTCTGGGCCTCAGTCCTCTCACAGCCCAGGATCCACAGCTCTCTGTGGGCCTCCCTCGCCCGCCTCCTGGGCCTCCCTGCGCTCGCCGGGGACCAACAGAACGCTCGGCTCCCAGGTGAGAGACAGACCCGGGCCTTTCTGTGTGGAGTTTGCATGTTCTCTCTGTGTCTGCATAAGTTTGAGTGATGGGGATGGCTGTGTGTCTGGTTTCCTGCTTTTGTCTGCAGCGTGTGGAGAGAATGAGACCAAACTGAAGCAATGGCTTTTCAAGGAATTCCCCCAAATACTGGAACCACTCAAAGACCCAGTGGGAAAAATGTGAGAAACCTCAGTGAGGGATCCGCTCCTACAAACTGGACTGGCTGTAGATCCAGGACTGAGGCTGTAGACCCAGGACTGAGGCTGTAGACCCACGACTGAGGCTGTAGATCCAGGACTGAGGCTGTAGACCCAGGACTGAGGCTGTAGACCCAGGACTGAGGCTGTAGACCCAGGACTGAGGCTGTAGATCCAGGACTGAGGCTGTAGACCCAGGACTGAGGCTGTAGACCCAGGACTGAGGCTGTAGACCCAGGACTGAGGCTGTAGACCCAGGACTGAGGCTGTAGACCCAGGACTGAGGCTGTAGATCCAGGACTGAGGCTGTAGACCCAGTACTGAGGCTGTAGATTCAGGACTGAGGCTGTAGACCCAGGACTGAGGCTGTAGCTCCAGGACTGAGGCTGTAGATCCAGGACTGAGGCTGTAGATCCAGGACTGAGGCTGTAGATCCAGGACTGAGGCTGTAGACCCAGGACTGAGGCTGTAGCTCCAGGACTGAGGCTGTAGATCCAGGACTGAGGCTGTAGAGCCAGGACTGAGGCTGTAGATCCAGGACTGAGGCTGTAGACCCAGGACTGAGGCTGGTTTGTTGTGGGTTGGTTGCTAAGATGCAGTACCAGAGATGTAATATTCAACCACACTAGCTCCCACTAGTGCTAGTGTGGTTTTGACACTAGCAAAAGGGAATGTTTTATTTCCAAAAATGTTTTGTCTTAAAGCTGGCCTTAGAGTGAAGGGGGCCCGGACTGATGCAAATTCATCCCAATACTTTCTGACACCACAAACACTACTCCAGCTTCAATCAATACATATTTTTTAACAAATGAAAGCAATGATTTCTCTACTCTACTCTACTCTTCTGCAGATATTTGTACATATAGAGTTTCCGTCTTGGCCACAGAAACATCTCCTTAGACCTACTCTTTGCACACAGAGAATATCCAATGCTACAGAATATAACCTTCTTCTTCTGCTGCTAACTTTCTCCCTCTCTGAGCTAATATGTATCCATCTCCTAACAACGCCCTGTGCCTTCACTGGAGAGAGACCTGCGGCTTATTTCCACCAGCCGTTTCCATGGAGACTGTGTTTTTGCTACCTGTCCTTTGTTTTCCTTCCGCACGGCTGCGTCTCTGATCTCAGGTTCACATAATTAGCTCGCTCCGCCCCCCCAAAAATAACCTCCACGCTTCTGGCACAGCCACGGTCCGCCGGGGTCCAGGGCGTCTCAATCTGAGGTGTCTGCTACTGTAAGATGTAAAACCAGGGGAGTTCAGTATGAGATTTATTAAGGGTGGGAAGTTTTTTTTGTTCTCATCTCTCGTCTGACGATCTCAAACCAGCGAGTAATGAAGAGTCAAGGATCTGTGTTAAAATAGACATGTCACGCAAAAGACCTGGAGTGGTTTTTAGACCCATCCACGCTAATATCAGAAACTGGCGCTAACATGTAGCTCCGCCCCTTCTGTCTAAAAGCACCATCACTATGACATCACACTCAGAGCAGTTGTCTGTCTTTACAACAAATGTATTCATAAATTAGTTTTGGTAGTTTCTGAAAGGAAATTACGTTCCTTACAATGACATGGCTGTGTTTGCAGTTGATCATTCTCAAATTTGGGAAAAAAACGACAAACTCTACTCCCTCTGGTGGCAGCATAGGGAGTTACAGGCTGATAGCTTTAGTGTTAGTCGTCATATATGTTGAAGATATTCTCAGATTGATCAACTCGACTCCATCTGATCTGCAGCCTCAGTCCTGGGTCTACAGCCTCAGTCCTGGATCTACAGCCTCAGTCCTGGGTCTACAGCCTCAGTCCTGGATCTACAGCCTCAGTCCTGGATCTACAGCCTCAGTCCTGGGTCTACAGCCTCAGTCCTGGATCTACAGCCTCAGTCCTGGATCTACAGCCTCAGTCCTCAGTCCTGGATCTACAGCCTCAGTCCTGGGTCTACAGCCTCAGTCCTGGGTCTACAGCCTCAGTCCTGGGTCTACAGCCTCAGTCCTGGGTCTACAGCCTCAGTCCTGGATCTACAGCCTCAGTCCTGGGTCTACAGCCTCAGTCCTGGATCTACAGCCTCAGTCCTGGATCAACAGCCTCAGTCCTGGATCAACAGCCTCAGTCCTGGATCTACAGCCTCAGTCCTGGATCTATTTTCCTGTGTTTGAACTGATTTATTCTCTGTTCTGTTGTTGAGAAATCCACAACTTTGTAAAGACCTCTGAAACGTTGTGATTTAAGTCTGTAAACTGAACCAAAGTGAATCTTTGACCACATGTATCTTTCTGTTTGTCCAGAGTGTGTCGTCTCTGGGCTCAGGCAGCTCTGAGGGCAGCCTGCAGACCACTGTGGAGGAGGGCCTCAGCTTCACCACGTCTCCGTCCAGAGTCAGTCCAGTCCAGAACCACCCCCACCCCCCCCACCCAGGCCTCACACCCCCCCACCCAGGCCTCACACTCTTCCAGCCAGGTTTCACACTCCCCGACCCAAGCCTCACACTCCGCCACCCAGGCCTCACCCCAGCCCCAAGACCAGCCACGAGACCAGCCCCAAGACCAGCCCCCTGGTCTGTCCAGCAGAGGGCAGCAGTGGAGACGACCCACACTACAGGTACAAGACAAATGTACAGTCTGACAGCTCAATGTGGAGCACCCAAGATACATGCTCAGTTCACAGGAAGAAGATTTAATTGTATAGAACATAAGATGAGATAGACTTTGTTGACAACTAGCTCACACTGGAGAAATGTACACGTCACATTTGACACAGATAGAATCAGATTGTGCAAAAGACAGAAGTGTGCAAACATTTTAAAGGTTAATAATATAGTCTGTGCAGGATTTAGACATAAAATAATTAAATAAGATTAATTTGTGTTAAGCTATACAAATAAACTTGCCTTGCTTTTTGGGTTCTTTTTAGTGTTGTAAAATCAAATCTGCCATAGATGGTGAAGCAAATGTACAAAAGTTCGGAATTTGCAAAAGAAAAGAAGGTCTAAATTTCTAAAGAATGTCTACGTCAGCTTGACCATTCTCTTCTCCTCCTCCTCCAGGCCAGCAGGGGGCACCAGCGCAGCCAGAGCAGCTCCGAGCACTGCCCCCACATCAGTGAACTCTCAGCGGACACCAACAGCCTGTCGCTCTCCTCGCTGCTGCCACACGGCTCTATAGCGCCGCCGCTGGTCCAGAGATGCAACAGCACGGGCTCGCTGCACCTGCACCAGGCCAGGCCCATAGACCCTCCCCCCTCAGGACCAGAGCGCGGCGGCGCGATCACGGACGAGATCACGGACGAGATCACGGACGAGATCACAGACTCTCACCCCAGAAAGCACAGATGAAACGCTTTAGGAGACTTTACAAACTGAAGACTAAGCATTGTTTGTGTTTCTGTGGTGGAGACAGGACCAGGATCAGGACCAGGACCAGGACCAGGACAGCGCTGTGAAAATGAGAGACGTTTTCCATTCAGAGAAACTTAACACACACACACAAGTCCATTGGGAGATGTTTATGTTTTTATGTTTTTATTTGTCCATGTCACATTTACATACGTCTTATTTATTGTTTTTAAGTGTATGCAGCTCGAAAAAGCAGAAACAGAAGGAAGCAAAAAATAGACACACAGAAAGACTGACCAGTGGGGGGCGGGTCCCGGCTCAAAAGTGGCCAAAATGACGTGCGCTGACATGCTGCAATACCACCCCGGGCCGATGGGGGTGGAACCGGATTAAGAATTAGCCAATGCTAACATATAGCATTAACAGACCTCTCGAAAACGTCTTTACAGGATGGTCCAAAAGTCAGGTCTTGGCCCAAAGCTCTGTTCCACATGTGTGTCAATGCTGAGGGGGGTGTTTTGGACCAGTGTAGTTTAGTCGCTGTGAATTTTTGAAGTCACTCGTTTAAATGAATGGGGCTCTCGCCGGCTGATGCATTTCCAGCCCCCGCGGCCATTTTGAAACTGCCCATTGACCGCGGAAGTTGTGGCACATTAGTTAGAACAGCGGAGATAGGCGTGACTACATCTGTTAATATTTACAGTCTATGAGACATACACACACACAGACAGACACACACACAGACAGACAGACACACACACAGACAGACATACACACACACAGACAGACAGACAGACATACACACACACAGACAGACACACACACAGACATACATGGTTCACCTCCGGTTATTTTTAAACATTATTTCCGTTGGTACAAACCTGTTTTAATGGTCTCTAAGAACGAAAAAAAAAAAGAAAAAGTCTAATTTTCACACAGCTGCTCCATGTTCTGCCTTTGTCCCGTTTTCTACCACGGCCCTCTGCTGGACGCTAGAGGCACTACACCCTCTGGATCCTCCTCCCACTGGTTCTTCAGCTGTTCTCGTCTCGTCTCTGGATGTGGTCTTTGCGAGTTGGCGGCGTTCCGGACGTTTGGGGCAGAACTCTGTGGAATCTCGGCGTTCCGTACAAAGCCCTCTCCCGGGAACGAGACTGGACACTCGTGAAAGGCGTTAGGGCTCGCGAGACCATTTTGTGCAAAAACGTGTCGCGAATACACCACTTTGTACAGATGTCTGAATTTATTTTGTAATATTCACCTGTAGCATCCAACGATATCTGTTTTGTGTTTAAAGATCCCATGTTATGCTTGAAGATTGGTCTGGACCACTGCGGACCCTGGACTCTTCAAACAGGCTTTCTTATGCTTCCATTTCCATCCATCCATTTTCTTCCCCTTTATCCATTTCTGGGTCGTTGGTGGCAGTCAGAGTTGCACCCAGACAGACGGACATATACAAAGATAGAAACACACACACACACAAGCAGACAGACATACACACAGATAGACAGAAACACACTGACAGATAGACATACACATACACGAGTGCTATCCACTCGGCACGGTGGCTGAGTGGATAGCACTCTCGCCTCTCAGCAAGAAGGTCCTGGGTTCGAATCCCGGTCGGACCAGGGCCTTTCTGAGTGGAGTTTGCATGTTCTCCCCGTGTCTGCGTAGGTTTCCTCCGGGTACTCCGGTTTCCCCTACCACTAAAAATATGTCCAATAGTTCTAGCATGCGCCTCCTGTACTGGCGACCCCGCTCCCATCTCTATGTGGAGTGAGAGACTAATGCACAAAAAAAAAATTAACAATTGTAAACCGCTTTGAGACTCAGATCTGCAGTGAAAAGGCGGTATATAAATAAATACTTACTTACTTACTTACTTACTACGCACAGACACACAAACAGACAGACACACATACAGACATACACGCACAGACAGACACACAGGCAGACACAGACATACACACACAGACAGACATACACAGACAGACAGACAGACACACAGACAGACAGACATACACACAGACAGACAAACAGACACACAGACAGACAGACAGACAGACAGACAGAAACACAGACAAACAGACATACACACAGACATACAGACAGACATACACACAGACAGACAGACATACACACAGACAGACAGACATACACACAGACAGACAGACAGACAGACATACACACAGACAGACACACAGACAGACAGACAGACATACACACACACAGACAGACATACACACAGACAGACAGACATACACACAGACAGACAGACAGACATACACACAGACAGACAGACAGACATACACACAGACAGACAGACAGACAGACATACACACAGACAGACAGACAGACATACACACAGACAGACAGACAGACATACACACACACAGACACACAGACAGACATACACACAGACAGACAGACATACACACAGACAGACAGACAGACATACACACAGACAGACAGACAGACATACAGACATACACAGACAACACAACAGACAGACAGACAACAGACAGACATACACACAGACAGACACAGACGACACACACACAGACAACACAGACAGACAGACATACACACAGACAGACAGACATACACACAGACAGACAACACAGACAGACAGACATACACACAGACAGACAGACATACACACAGACAGACAGACATACACACAGACAGACACACAGACAGACAGACATACACACAGACATACAGACACACACACAGACAGACACACAGACAGACAGACATACACACAGACAGACACACAGACAGACAGACATACACACAGACAGACAGACATACAGACAGACAGACAGACACACAGACAGACAGACATACACACAGACAGACAGACATACACACAGACAGACACACAGACAGACAGACATACACACAGACAGACAGACATACAGACAGACAGACATACACACAGACAGACACACAGACAGACAGACATACACAGACAGACAGACATACACACAGACAGACAGACATACACACAGACAGAAACACAGACAGACAGACATACACACAGACAGACAGACATACACACAGACAGACAGACATACACACAGACAGACACACAGACAGACAGACATACACACAGACAGACAGACATACACACAGACAGACACACAGACAGACAGACATACACACAGACAGACACACAGACAGACAGACATACACACAGACAGACAGACACACAGACAGACAGACATACACACAGACAGACAGACATACACACAGACATACACACAGACAGACAGACATACACACAGACAGACACACAGACAGACAGACATACACACAGACAGACAGACATACACACAGACAGACAGACATACACACAGACAGACACACAGACAGACAGACATACACACAGACAGACACACAGACAGACAGACATACACACAGACAGACAGACATACACACAGACAGACAGACATACACACAGACATACACACAGACAGACAGACAGACATACACACAGACAGACATACACACAGACAGACAGACAGACTGACAGACATCTCTTTCCATTTCCATTTAAATCAACTTCATATTTTTTGTAGAAGTGACAACTTTGGGTCAATTTATAATGTTATAAAACCGATAGAAAACCAATTTTAAAGCCTCAAAACTATAAAAAACAAGCATAACCTGGGACCCCTGTGATTGTTTGTGTGAAGAAGCTGGAACACGAGGAGGAACGAGCCGGAAAACGGGTCATGTTTCTGTGATTTTTAACTGTTTATGGAGCTACTATGATATTGATGAGTTTTGAAAATGGGATGAATCCACACATTAGCAAACACTAGCTAACATTAGCAAACACTAGCTAACATTAGCCAACGCCGACCCACCGTCCGTCACAAACACCCGCGGCCGGGGAAGATGATGGCGACTGCTGCTGAGATTTTTGTACTGAAAAAGTTTGAACGCTAAGGGCTAAAAACCAGAGGGCAGACCTGGGCCAAATACCATGTGACCAGGAAATGTCCATATATGGATTGCATGTGACCTGTGAGCTGCTGTGACGTAGATTAGCAAAATAGTTTGAGGATCTTTGTGGATAAATGTGTTTTAGAGTTTGGAATAGATCGTCACGGTGCAAAATATGTGGAACGTGGGACACTTTTGGACTCGTGACGATGAAGAAGTGATGTTTTTGTGTTTGGAGTCGAGTCGAAGTCGGAGGCGGGAAAACAAAAGGCTCCACCTTCTCTGTTTGTGTCATGTTTAAGCCTCGACTGTGTCTGAAAGTCGATGATTTCAACCTCACGACTGAGAAAAGACAGAAGATGTTTAATCTGGACATTTCTCTCTCTCCGGTCTCTCTCGTTCTGATCTCTCTCTCGCACTGGTCTCTCTCTCGTATCTCTCTGGTCTCTCTGGTATATCCCTGGTATCTCTTTTGTCTCTATTGTCTCTTTCTCATGTCTCATGTCTCTCCGGTCTCTCTCTCGTTCTGATCTCTCTCTCGCACTGGTCTCTCTCTCGTATCTCTCTGGTCTCTCTGGTATCTCTCTGGTCTCTCTGGTATATCCCTGGTATCTCTTTTGTCTCTATTGTCTCTTTCTCATGTCTCTCCGGTCTCTCTCTCTCTGATCTCTCTCTCGCACTGGTCTCTCTCTGATCTCTCTCTCGCACTGGTCTCTCTCTCGTATCTCTCTGGTCTCTCTGGTATATCCCTGGTATCTCTTTTGTCTCTATTGTCTCTTTCTCATGTCTCTCCGGTCTCTCTCTCTCTGATCACTCTCTCGCACTGGTCTCTCTCTCGTATCTCTATGGTCTCTCTGGTATATCCCTGGTATCTCTTTTGTCTCTATTGTCTCTTTCTCATGTCTCTCTGGTCTCTATCCCTGGTCTATCTCTGCTCTCTCTGGTCTTCCCCCCCTCTCTCTCTCTTGTCTCTCTCTCTCTCTACACTCTCTCTGCCACACGGCTCTATAAGCAGTGTCATGAAGTGGAAATGAGGAGGA